ATGAAATTTTAAAGTATTTAAACTATTCTTGCCTTTAGGATCCAAACAAGCGGTTTGGGGCATCTCTGGGTGCCTTGTCTGGGGGTCGTGTTGGAATCACATCGATGGCAGTTACTAACCTTAAGTTGGCTTTAACAGTAGCTGTGCGTTACTCAGCTGTACGTAAACAATTTGGACCAAATGACAAAGAAGAGTTACCTGTTATAGAATATCAAATGCAGGTAAAGTACTCTATTATTTATTACTGTATTAATTCGATTGATTATTAAATTATGTTGCACCATACAGTATTTGTTATTTTGTTATAATACTGTATAAAAAAAAAAAATTAAAAAATGTTGTAAAATGTGATTTAAAAAAAATTATTTTTTAAACAGCAATGGCGTCTGATTCCATACATTGCAGCCTGCTATGCTCTAAGCTCGTTGTCTGCCTTTATAGGGAAAGCGTTCAATGAATTTGCTGTTAATCTCATTATGGGCAACAAGAGTGCTACACAGGTATGTACGAAATACTTATTTATTGAACCTTTATCTCTATTGTTTTCAAGAAAAAAGTTTTTGTGTATTTTATCTTTATGTATTATTAAAAAGGGAGTGGTTATAATGAATGGTTGCAATTTTTGTGACAAGTATTTCAGTTTTCAGTATGTTTCATTTTTTTGTCTAGGCTGATATGGGGAAAGAACTGCATGCTCTATCCAGTGCCACTAAGCCTCTAGCTAGTTGGACGGCTCGTGATGCCATACAAGAATGCAGGGAGGCATGCGGCGGCCATGGCTACCTTGCAGGTATGCATTGATGAACTGGTGTTACTTGTGACTAGTTTTAATCCATAGTATCTTCAACCATTTGTTACTATTAAGCTGTAACTGTTTTTAATCTTTATACATTTTGCATCTTGTGTCCTGTTTTACAATGTAAGAATAAAGTAGACTTGTATCATTTATTCATTGCTCCAGAGTTGTAGGTGATATTAATATAGCAGTAAAGAACAATTATAACAATTAACAAAGCAATTGGCTAATCAAGATTCTCATGGCAGTTAAAACTGATTAGGGAGAAATTTACAGTAACATAAAAAATACAAAACAAAATTGGTAAAAATGAATCTTGAGTTAAATAGTTAATGTGCTTGAGTATAGTCTATGTCATATCATAATGGAACGTTACGGTAGCACATTGGCAGATGTTGACAATCAATTCTTTCAACTTTACAGGCCCGTAGCGTGACTTAATTTGTGCGAGATTCATTTGCAGTTTAAAGTGGACCCTTTGGCTTGTAAGATCTCCGATTCTCTGGAGAACATTGTAAATATATATACGAATATCAATTTTTTTGTTTTTAAACTTTCTCCAGATTTTGAGCAGTTCGTTGAAACCCCCCCCCCCCCCCCCAAACCCCCCCCCCCCCCACGCTACGGCCCTGCTTTATTCTATTCTCTACACTTCATTGTACTCGGTCTATCCTCTTTAGACCAGATTGATAGGCATGTATAGACTCTTTTATTATGAAATTAGAAATTGAGTTTTCAAGTTTGTATTGACTAATATGCATTGATTTCAGTGTGATATATCTACTAAAATGCATTATTCTTATTGTTCTTATTGATGTCTTTTGAATGTGTATGTTAATTAATTTTTAAGAACTTAAAGATTTATCCAATCATTTATGCTATATTTTATTTGATTGCAATAAAGATGAATTTGAATTTAATTCTTCAACAGTAAATCGGTTTGGTGTTCTGAGGGATGATAATGATCCCAATTGTACTTATGAGGGCGACAACAACGTTCTTCTACAGCAAACTAGTAATGCCGTGTTGGTGATGGTGAAGGCAGTTCAAACCGGTAGGAACAGGATTAATGAGCACATACTATTGAATTTAACATCATCAGCAGTTTACTGTAAAATTAATATCATTTTTCTCATTAATGAATGTTGTATATTTCAGGAGAAGTTGTCCAAACACCACTGAAGACAATGAATTTCCTAAATGATATGGGTGCTATAATTAAACAAAAATTCACCGCAACCACAGAACAAGAAATGTTAGATCCTGCAAGTAAGAAGAATCTCATAATTTTTGTTTAATTCTTTAAATAGTAAAATGGAATATAGTACTTCAATTCATATCCACTGCACATATCCACTATGATCCATTCTCTGCTCTGTATTCTGCTTTGTACTCCCACACTCTATACTTCACTCTGTATTTTTAATTTCACAAATCAATTCTATTTTAAAAATAAAGATTCTTTTTTTCACATTTTCAGCTTGTTTGGATGCTTACAAATGGCTTGTTGTTTACCTTTCAAAGGAGAGTGCACATAAGTTGATGAGGGAAAGTAAAAAGGGAGAGGACAGCTTCACGGCACGTAATAACAGTCAGGTTTACTACTGCCGGTCACTTGCAATAGCTTTCATTGAGGTATGCTGAATGATTTGAGATCCTCATTGAACATGATGAGGTGATGTCATTCACCCACACAGCATTTGATATTTGTCCAGTTTACTATTGCCGATTACTCAGACAGTTATTGGTGGAGGGGAGAAATTACACGGCAAATGCCTGGGGGTTGGAATTCAGGCATCTTAACCACCAAGCCTCACCCAAGCTGTATTGATGAGGTATCCTCCTTTATTTCCACAGCATGTGACTCTTCAGGTATTTTATGATTTCTGTAATGATCCATCTCTGCCAAGTGACATCTCAATAGTCCTGAAGAAGCTATGTGCTTTGTATGGTCTCTGGTCTTTAGAAAAGCACATGGCAACTTTATACCAAGGTAAAAGTGTCATCAAATTTTGTTTATTCAATTTGTTAGTCAGTCATGTATTCTTTCATTCATTCCTTTATTCATTAATTTATTTATTCATCGAACCGTATTTATTACATATTTTTTCAGGAGGGTATTTCAGTGGTGGTGAACCTGCTAAGCTTGTGCAGACCACCATCTTATCCCTGTGTGCTGACCTAAAGCAAGATGCCGTTGCTCTAGTAGACGTGTTTGCTCCACCAGATTTCATTCTCAATTCTCCAATTGGCATGTCTGATGGAGAGGTAAATTGTATGTAAATTACAGGGTGTACACACTGTGTACATGTTGATCCAGGGCAGTGCATAAATGTGTACGCATTGTGTGCTTATCATTCCAAACCAGTGTACATGTTGATCCAGGGCAGTGCATAAATGTGTACGCATTGTGTGCTTATTGTTCCAAACCAGTGCGTACAGGTGTATGCACTCAGCATGTTGTTCCGAGGCAGTGCATACAGGGTGCATATACTGCGCATGTTGATCCAGGCCAGTGCATACAAGGTGTATCCACTGTGCGCATGTTGACCCATGGTCATGATTATAGGGTGTAGATGGTGTCCACTAAATCGTCAGTTATTATTAAGTTATTATCCAAGTTTTCTGGCATTTGTTCAATATAGTTGTGTGCTAACCTACTACAGAAATATTAAATACTCATTTTATCTTTATACTTTTTATTACAGGTGTATAAAAACCTATATGGAGCACTTATTCAAGGTCCTGGGGCTCTGGAGAGACCATCATGGTGGAGAGAGTTCCTTGAGAAACCAAAGATAGGATCAAGACCGCTAGCCAAGTTGTAATCAAACTTATATTCACTTCAGTAAATGCAATTTCATCGCATTATAAACAGCCAAAAACGATAGTGTGAATCAATTCAACTAGACAGTACAGTCATTAAATTGATTTCTCATCAAAATGATTTTAAATGTCTGAGCAATTTTACCCATAAATGTGCTTCCATAAATTATAAAGTCCTTACAGGTATAACCTGTGTTTATAGATGATTTCAGTATTGCTATATACTTGACTAATTTAACAGTAAATTGGAGAGACTGTTTCATGCTTTGAAATGTGCTTGTCATGTTTTTTGTTGTATTCCTAATTATGTGTGTCAATTTTGTGACAGGCTTCCTACTATATAATATGATTATAAATTGCAATAACAGTGTGTGGTGCAAGTATACTCTGTTAACAGAGCCAGATTAACATAGGAGCTTTTGGGGCACCAGCCCTAGGCCACAGTCCCCAATGGGAAAATATAAGCCCCCCGAACCCCAGAAAAAAATCACAGAAAATTTGGTTTTATGTTTTAGCCAGAGAGTATTTAGGCCCACTTGCAATTACAGAACCCAACCCCACAGCCCTTTAATCTGGCCCTGTTTGTTCATAGAGGTTATGCACAGTACCGGAACGATGATGATGACAGTATAACCATTTGTAATCTTCTTAAAGATATTTTTTATCCATGATTAGGTAATTACTTTCTAAATAGCAATATATATTATTTTGTTAAATTATGAATATTGTCTAAACATGGACAAATTAATTATATAATATGAGGATGTGTTGTAGCATGACTTTAGGTTATGTACAGTGGAATAATGTATAGATATAATTTCATGTAACATGAATAAACCAGCTACAAATCGAAATATATTTCATGTAAGTCATTTTTTAATTGTCATTAATATGTTTCTTGTTTTCTTTCCCATAATGCAGCAGTATCACGTATTTAATATACTTGATACGCGTCAACAGACTAACCTTACCAACCTACACATGTTCTGCTCATGCATTGACAATATATGTATATAAATTCAAAGTGGAATATATTTAGCAATAGAAAGTATTAAAAACAAGATAGAGGTAAACAAATAGTAAAGAAGCTAAAACAACAACCAACATGTAACACAATGGTAAATGCCACCATAAATTTCTTCATATATTTCAGGTATGTTTAAACCATACCCCAAGTACAGTAGTGTATATAAATTGGGATACATTATCATAATGCAGTGTATCTAAACTTATTGATTGCTATATAACAGTATGAAATTTTATAATTTCAACATACAGTTATATACTTACTATAAAATATAAATTATAAAGATATACAACTATTCAACATTGGTGGTCATTTACAAACGAAAAATAATGCAAAGGCCTAAATAAATACATAGGCCTATACATATAACCTATTTTGAATATCATATATTTATATATATTATGATAGTGTGTGTTGTGGGCCTAGGTTTTACGTAATTTTACCGTAAAGCAAAATTACAGAATATCAATCAACTATTACACAGGCCTATATACCTACTATTAAAAAAGTATATCATAGGTCTAGCCATATAACCTGTAGATTAATGAAAGTATATACAGTACTGTATATTATGTTTATTGTATAAGCATTATACAGAGTATGTGCTTTTTATAAACATATTTTGAATGCGTTAATGATATAAGCTAAATGGTGTATCCATCATTGTACCGGGCATACTTTCAGGGCGTAATCTTAATGCTGATACTTAATAGAAATTATACCGAGAGTGTGAGGCTTATATGAGGTTGCCTTGACTGGTGGTCGATGCGTTCTGATTCTGGTTCTGCTGCGCCATCTGTTCTTGCATTTTCTTCAACATCTCCTGCATCTTTTGTAACTCTGCCTCCTTCTCCAGCAGCATTCTGTCCTTTTCGTTGTTCTCTTCTAATATCACAGATTCCCTCTTCATTCTCCTATTAAACATAATATTGTAGTATAATGATGCTGATGATAATAATAATTAATAATGGTTGTTTTATTATATATAGCATATATAAATGCTAATTTGCATAGCCAAATCTTTCAAAGAACACTCTCGGACACAAGTGATACGCCCTCGCATATTGGGAGTGAGAAATCTCTAACTGGCCTACGTGTGTGTGGAATACAATATTAGCATATGGATAATTCATCAGTAACATTAAAATGCAAAACAATGCAATGCGAGTAAAAATATCGTATCCTATAAGTGTAATTTGAGCTATTTTTATAACATAAAATCACGTTTGTTTGATTATTCTATTCGTCAATATGTCACATTTGAGTGTATTACTTTTGATGTACATGTCCACTCACCCTGTGCGTTTCGACATTGGCGCCGATTTATCGGTTTGTATGCATTGCGAACGATAATTTTCATAGTGTACGTCACCGGTAACTTCCTTTAGATCTTGCATGTGAGTTCTAAAAATAAGGAAATAATTAATAATGTTTCTGGAATTCATATGGATTGATTTGTATCTTCAGTTTAAAATAATCGTTCTCCAAATTTATAATACAATAACTGAAATAATCATGAAAGAACATTAATTAAAAGTTGTTGGTGTCCTTATCTGAAGCCTCAGTTAAAGAGTTCTTGTATTAGTTGGAGGGGCCCCTTGAACAGATCAAACTTACACTGAATACTGGAACCTCTCGATATTTTATAGGCTTTTATACTTTTTGGAATGATTCAATCGGGAGCAAATATATGTAGTACTGCTTACATGTTTTAAGATTCCGAAATTATTGTAAACTGCTTTATTAACGCAGAGGAACTTGACAGTTTGTAATTTTATTTTGTAAAATATGTTGTCATTCTAAACTTTTCAGAATGGAGGAGAGTACATTTCTGTATATCTACAAAACTAATCACCCCTACCCTGCCCCATTCCCGTGCCTGTTAATTCATGTTTGTATATTATTTAGAAAATGTCGAAAACAATGCTGTACCTAATCAACATGTTGCGTAGCATGACGAAATCACAATGGGCTGGATTCTCAACCTCCGTGATGCCCCATGGATACAATCGGCCCCGCACCTTCTTACCGTTAACGTCGATTGTAGTATTACTACCAATCACAGCAAAAGGAATACTTTCCTGAACACAAAACAATTACAATAAATTAAAATGCTTTGGCAAAACTTATAAGTCATATCAAAATACGTTATTTAAGATAGAACAGAAAAATAACAGTACGGTAGTCAAAAAGTGTAAGAAAATAATTTTAAGCCCCATTCCCGGCAAAATTTCACTAAAAACTGACTTTTTTTTAAGAAAATATTCATTTGCATTACTCCAATTATTATAAATCATGGAAAAATATTGGCATGAATTTTAGTTTAACGCAAAAGAATAAAAAAAAAGAGAAATACAGACTATTTCTCATAAAATATTACCATTTTCTGGACGAATTCATCGTTACTAGGCAAATTCAGAGGTTGTAGATCGAATCCACTGGAATACTCTCGCTTTTATGTATACTTTATACAGTCAATAAAGTGCGCCGTCTCTAATGAGATTAGTTTTTGTACTTCGCATCTCGCACAATGCGGTCGTTCGGTTAGGCTGAGATATGTTTGTTTAAGCATGGAGGAATAATATTTCCTCCATGGTTTAAGTGTCAAAATCTCAGTCAGAATCAGTTTTTTAACAAATTTGAAATAATTCCTATGAGATATTATATTTCACAAGTGTCAATACTAGCAACGGAAAATATCATGTCGGCCGTTTTTATGTGTGATAACAGAACCTAAATCGAGGTAAGGCTAGGCCTAGCCTAGCAGCGGTGGATAGGCTAATGTTTTCGGCGCCTACGATATTTCTTCTCACGACCTATCGCAAAATCAAAATGAAAAATTCATCCGCATTTATTTTTTGTGTGGAACAAAAAAAAATCAAATTTCAGTCTTATTTTACATTTTTTTCATTCTTAGGAATGTCTAAATTCAGTTAAACTAGCAATTGCATATTATATTTATAAATCTTTATAACATTATACAAAAATTAGATTTTTCTTAAAAACTGAAATTTTGCCGGGAATGGGGCTTTAAATGTTATTTATTTAAAACCCAGTTGACAGCAAAGTTCATAAAATATTCTACCAATCAAATTTAAATTATGCTATTGATAAATAACAACTAAACGCAGAAACACTCCACGGTTATCACTGGCGAAACATGCAACAATATTATGATGCTAGGCTCAAAAACAAAACTGAACATACACCAGACTTAAAATATCTATTAGTATTTCCATGGTATTACAATCTACATGCAAAACCATACTTTTTATCTGCATAAAGTAGTATTAAAGATCTTTGCCTAGATAAGAAGAAAAGTAAATGACAATACACAGAAGGGAACGATGAGAAATAAGGGTGTTTTTTTTTGTACATGTGAATAATTGATTTTAATTATGTATAGACCTACAAGATAATTTAACATTGTTTTAGGTCTGTCTATACGGGATTATGATTTGGTAAGCTGTTGTTATCAAGCACAAACTGAAAAAACCAAACACAAGTAAAGTAGGTCAGTACTTTCCGCGTACACATCACGCGCGTACCTGCGCTGTAGTTTCCGTTTCCTTTGGAGCGCAGATACGCGTGTGGCATACGCATGCGCTGTGCATGCGAATAATCAGGTCAAAGATATTGGCAGTGGAAACAGCCTAAGCAAACAACTTATATAGCAGAAGAATGAGCTGTTCCGCGTATTTGCATTAAAATTGATGGAACATCCGTAGTGGAGAAACTACAGGAAACAAACGAACCTAAGCGGCGCCTTCATTAGCGCCGCCGCGGACGCAGAAGGGGTAAAATTGCTCTCCGTGTACCCGCAATGCATTTCGAACGGATGTTCCACTACATTGGTAAGCTACTCTATCTTCTGCTATTTATTATATTTGACATAAGCTATTTGTTTAGTATGATTTGAAGATGATCACAAAGTAAATATCGAATAGGCCTACATATAACAATAAATTTATTTCACATGTAAACACTTGTGAAATCGTAACACAATAACATTTAGGATGAGGGGGTAATTTCGATTAAGACTGGGATTTAGGTTGTTGCATCATAATAACATACCATGCACTGGTCCTGTTTGAAATTTCCTGGAAAGACCTAGTTTAAGAACATAATAAATACGATAAGGCTATAGGCCTAGATTCCTATATTTTCAAACAGCCAACGTCATGTTTTCAAAGCTCTTCATGGTAGCCTATTACATTTCAACCAATTTCCCGACACAATTTGACTATTTCAGCCTTGATTAAAGTTAATTAATACCTTGAGTTCGATGTTTTGCTGCTTAAATTCTTCATCTTCAGATTCGCAGTCAGGAAATTGGTAGATAGAAATATTGTTTTCTTCTATTTCATCAATTACCTGAAAAAAAAAAGAAATCCACATTTATATATTAAGACTGCAGTGATATACAAAATGATTAATTAATGTGACAGTAGGCCTTTCTGGATTGCAAATTAAACTTAAAAACGGACCAATAAGAACGTGTTATATAACGCACACGTCCCGAAAACAGCACATTGTACGGTTACGCTGTTTAAAGTCCCACACTTTAGCAAGTATATCCAAGGGCCGTGGCTTAACGGACAGTTAGGTAGGCCGCAAAATCACATTGGCATTAGTCTTTGACATAACTAACCTTGGATTTCAGATTTTTCACTTCAGATTTCGTAAGGCAATCTGCCTTGGCTATTACAGGTACTATGTTGACTTTGTTGTGAAGTTCTTTCATAAATTTCACATCGATAGGTCGTAATCTACATGTAAAAAAAACAAAATCAAATGTTATTAGGCCCCTGGTCAATTCAATAACTCTTTATAGATACCCGATTATTACATGATACTGTATTTAATAAATAAATGTACAGTCTATAGAAAGTTCATTGAAAGGGGTTTATGCGATAAGGTGCGTGGAATGGGCTGCAATGAAGGCATAAACCAGAATACACCCACAACTATTCAAACCCCAAAACTAATTACATGTGCATTGAACCAGAACTTGTAAGGTTCTCTATGTGGTACAGGCTTCCTTTTTGACAACTGACTGGGACCCGTGGCCCTTCCACTATCGGACAGTTTCACCCTTCCTCCTTTGAATACTGTAGGCCTACAATCCTAAAGACACCATCAGATGATATGCACAACTGATGTGTTCTCTTTTAACTTTTAAAACGAGTTATAAAGAGGCAGTAGGCCTATTGGCAGTTTTATTAGCGAGTAGGCTAAGTGTGTGCATGTGTTAAGCATTAATGATATGCGAATGAGAAGTAAATTCACCCGCTGAATTTAAGAGCTTTACTATAGATTATCCCAAGTCAAATCCCCTTCATTCCGAGAAGAACCATAGGACATACGAACGAGTCAACTTAAGAAGAACAGATGCAAAACAAATTGAAAGGCCTATCATGTGTTTATGTAGACCTAGTGGTTAAAAAAATAATAATACCGGTACTAATAATAATAATACTATAATAATAGTAACTAAAGTACTGTTATTATTAATAATTATTATTAAAATGATGATGATAATGCGGAAGCGGTTTGGCGCAACAGGAACGGTTTGGTTTGGTTTCCCAACCTCGGTGCCGGATTTCAATCCATCGCTATGCATTTTTCTTGTGTCCTTAAGGCACTTAATCTAAGTTGCTTCTCTCCACCCATGAATATAGGCCTAAATGGGTACCTGGTGGGGTTGCCTGCCCCTGCGCCAAGATGGCAGCAACACTTAAGCAGGTGGACCGAATAATTATGATGATCAATCACTTACCCATGACCGTATGGCGATATGAAATACAAACAGCAGTGTACTCTATTATCTATGATGTTCTTCCTATTTAATCCACTCTCGTCTCTGTAGTATTGGTTAAATTGGTCGTCAACGTATTTCACTATCGCTTTCCACCTGTAATAATAAAACGTCCGCATTGTTATAGCTTTCTCTGTTGGTTCTGGAGTTTCAACGTTCAATAATTAATATCACTTTCAAGTGTTGATAAACTTGCATAACAATGAAACTTGCCCAGGTAACATAATAACTGTTTCTCTTCCAAAAAAAGTCTCGCATATATAGGCCTACAAACATTCTGGTAAGCAATGTGTATCCGTGTGTTCCTAAACC